TTTCTTTAGTTTCAGCGTCGTTTTCGGGTATTTCAATTTCTCGCAATAATATCAGCAGGATAAACAACTATTTGAAAATTTTTATGTGATAAAAATTTTGGTCCGGAGTCCCCTTTTCAACGGCTTTATCTAAAAAATGTTCTGTTCTTCTGATTTTGAGGGTACGTGCCTATCGTGAGAGTCTAGTAGACAGAACTTTAAACATCTTCAACTGAAAGCTCATCTGAATGATTCAAATGAAAACCCCTTCAACATTTTGAATAATTCAAAAGTCCGAGATTCTTAAAATGAATTTCTATTTTCTGATCATTCAGATATTTCTCCTCTCTTAAATTTCCATACTTGAGTTGTTTATGATCTACAAAATGATCACTTTTGGAAACTTACGCAAACCATCGTGTTCTTCTTCTTCTACTAAAATCACAAGATGTTGATCTCAGCGTCAACCGACGTTTTTAGCTGTTTTAATCTTGAGAAAATGTACCACAAAATGCTTGGGGCGAAACCCAATGGTTAACTATTTGGATTAAAAACAAATGGCCTGCCTAGTCATAGTTTTCTCTTTGGGGTTCAAGAGAAATAATTGAATATTCTAGGATTCCGGAGAAAAATGGAAAATGGAATAGAAATTTGGAAAACCCTAACGCCCTCTTCTTAGCCATCATGAAAACATGCACCCTATCATTCGAGGAACTCATTTTCGTGTCAATTCATCACCGTTTTTCAAAGATGTCTGACACATTTTTGAAAAGAAATGTATAGTATGACGTCTGGTACACCTCTTTTGCATTTTACTTAAAAGATTACTCTCATTGGATTCTTGATAACACGGAACTTGAATAAGGCTTTTTCAGAAATGATTTTTTAATCCGAAACTTATGATTCCATACATATCAGATGACATTCCATTTCAATCAAAACACAAGATTCACTTCAATCTAAACCCGATCCTCTCACTTTTTCTAACTCGAGAACAGAACCAAAAATCTAACCAAGAACCTCAAACAAAAGTCTCTAGAGAATTCAGAATTCACACTTGTTTTTTCATTTAAACGCCTCCGACGTGTCAAGATTTATGATGACGTGAAATCCCAGAAGTCCTTTCTGGTTCCGTCAAGAATATGAATTCTTTCGGTTCTAGAAGAAGTCGCTGAGAATCAAGAAGACAAGAAAGGGAAGGAAGTCATCAGAATGTCATCTGAAGACGTGCACGGAGCTGACTTATTTTCTTGTGATGAAGTTTAGTACAAGTACGAGAACTACTAGAAATATATTTTTGGGTTTGATATGTTTTGTTGGATTCCTGATCTAGGGACTAATCGTTGTCGGCTTCAATTGGGCCCTGAAGTGCCCTCGCGGGCCTACCATAGTCTCTTTTAGAATTAATACATTTGGATCAACTAAATTCTATCTAATGGAACTTGACGAGTATTATGCAATGATATAATTTGGGAGACTGTGTCTCGTCTATGAACGAAGTTACAGAGGAAACAGGCCGACAAAGACATGGCCCAGCCCGGACCGCATCACCCTTTTTATAACTTAAAACTTTGTTCATAGAAACGAAACAACTTTCCAAATAATATAATTTTGCAGTACTCGTCCAGTTCTATTACCGTAAAACCTCTAATAGAACGACACCCGGATC